CCGCGTTCGGCCCGAACGGCCGAACGCATCCACAAGGGGTCCCATACGTTCGGGCGTTCGGGTTCGGGCGTTCGGCCCGTCCCGAACGCCGGTTACCTTGGCTGTAGTAATATTTATTTCTCTGTTATAACAATTATCATCATTTTCTTTCAATATATCGTCACTTATCTTGTAGTCTGCCACCTTATTCCATATATCTTGAACTTTTGACACCCCTCTCTTAATCTCGTTAATTAAATTTTTTAATTCCTTCACCTGTAAAAAATAATTTGATTTTTTTGTTTGTTTATTTTCAAACACCGGTTGAGTAAGTATCTCTTGCTTCGACCGTTAGTTGATATTATAAGTGAATTTTATTTTTTTCAAACTTTTAATACGCAATTTTGAATCCAAAATATAATCTTTTTATTTACAACATTACATATAACACCATTAATTATATTATTTAAAATTATAAAAAAAAAAAAAAAATTATGAGAGCATTGTTGATATCATATGAAATGTACCACTAATAATTGTGTTATGTTAGATGAAGAGTTGTAAATTATTGTACGTATTAGGAGTTGTTGGCTAGTATTATTGAATATTGTTTACGATAATGTATAAAATAATATTTGAGATAAAGATTTTAAATATTTTAAATTATTAATGAGACTTGTATGATTATATACACACCCCGTCTTCAAAATATACAACATGATAGACTCATCATAGATTCATCTTAGTATTCATGTTCAATTTTATTTTATATGATGTATAAGACTATTTAGTAGTAATGTATGTGACTTATAATCATAAATGATATAAATAAATACTTAAAAAAATATTTTTAGAAAATACTATGTCTAAATATTTGACTTTGCAAATAATCACATTTACTTTTTGTTAAGATTTTAGAGACTTCAAGTTTAAATAAATGTATGAAATATATGATGAATTTATGATGTGTTTATTCAATTTACTCCAAGTTATATTCAAAACTCATTCCCGTCAACTAATATTTTAGCAAGTCACAATTTGTTTTTTTTATTTAAACCTATGAAAAAACAAGTTCGATTGAAACATAAAATACAATGAACACTAAGTTGGTCATTCCTTATTCTCATACCCTTCACAACAATCATTGATAAAAATCACTCAAGAAAATAAAACTTGTATTGATTACGTGCAAATATCAAAATTAAAAAAAACAAGTACAAGAATGATATAAAAATTTTCGTGTCATTTCGCAAACATTATACGAAATATACTACAACATACCATTTTCATTTTTTTTTAACATAATAACACATAATATGTGGATTCACGCTTGTATAATGATTTTTTTTTTTTCGAACTAGGGAAACGCGAAAATGAGTTGGTTTGAACACGACAGGTCGAACGCCCAAACGCATACCCCCCCCAATACCATATTCAACAGACCGTTAATTTTTTCTTTCGTGCTTTCAGGTGGGGGAGTGGGGGGTGGGGGAGCATCGTATGGAGACATCTTTGATACACATTAAAGCCACCGTGAACCAGGAACACTTGCCCGACCAGATTAAAAAAAGGAAATATAAAAATAAATAACTTTATTTATAGGCTACCAGATGATGTCGTGATAAATACCCTTACAAGGGTGTTTGTTGCGCTTTTTTGCAGGTCGCACTGGGTGCAGCCGTGACGATGCAAGGGATAAACGGTACATCAACTTTCGTCCGAACGCTCGCCTCAGCGACTTCAACTATGACAGAGGGCGTGAGAGAGTGGGGTGTGTGTTAGTGTCAGCTCATATTAATGTGTCGCAAGGTAGATGACCAGCATCCTGCAACCTTAGCAGTCAGTAAGCTGGTCCACGATTTGATAATCGACGAAAGTATGCTATGAAATTTGTTGGTTAGGTTTGCTGCGCGCATGGGGCATGTGTATTAGCATTCAAACGAGTCATGGCCACGATGGGGCTGTTATGATATATGGTTCGATTTAGCCTCGACGGTGGTGCCGAGATGACTACGACATCACGTGTAGGGCATAGGTTACGGGACCAGCCGTTGTCCGAAGACTTGGTCGGCAGTGTTTCTATAAAAGTATCGGGCGACCGTGCAATTGATACGCACATCGCTTAGATGGGACGCATGGAGTGCTCGTGTCGTGAAGCCGCAACCTCATATAATCGGTTTGACTGTACGATTATTTAAGTGTGGTTT